AATTTTTAGCGTAAGGATTTTAGAAAAAAGTATCGTCTTATAGTTGGAAAAATACGGTAATTATTTTTGCTATGCCCTATTCTTGATGGAGCCATAAGTCTTCATATATATAGGTAGTCTTCAACTTACAATGGCAGTTGGGACCAGAATTTTTGTTGCTAAGCAATGTGGTCATAAAGTGCAACTGCATCGCTTAGTGATGGCAATCCCTGAAGTCCTGGTTGCCGTTGTTAACTGAATCCCATGGTGGTTAGGCAAGGCAACTTCCTGCCAGCTCCCCACAACCAAAGGGAATGGGGAAGCCAGTAGGAAGTTGCAACTCCCAGGCCCACAGGCAGGTAAGTGGCTGCTGTTGGGGTGGGGAGGGACTAAGGGGGGTGCAGGGGAAGGTGTGTGGGGATGTGAGCGGGTGTGTGAGAGGTGCCACATAGGTCAGGGAGGGTGTGCAGGTCAGCGTGAGCTGCTGGATGTGTCAGGGTGGGTACGCAGAGGTGCACAAGTGGCAACACAGTGCGAGGGCAGAGGGGGTGGGGGAGGATGTGCAGGTGGGGGAAACTTACCCCGCAACTTGTGGCCTTCCCTGCCAGCTTCCCCATTGACTTTGTGGAGAAGCTGGCAGGGAAGGTTGCAAATGGTGATCACGTGATTGCGGGGTGCATGGCAACTAGTTGTAAGTGCGAATGGGTTGCCAAGCACCCAGATCATGATCACATGATTGCAGGGGTGCTGGGACAGCCAGAACTCTGAGGACCAGTCATAACCACCATTCATTCAGCACTGTCGGAACTTGGAATGGTTGCTGACCGAATGGTTATGGGTTGAGGACTACCTGTAATGGAATACTCAAATTTTTGTACATAGTTCAGAATCATCCACATCTTTAAACCCTGTTACTATTCCCAAAAGCATATTAACAAACACAAGAATATTAAACCAAAATGGGATGATTGTGGGGCCACCAATGTTGACAGCCAGCCCTTTTAAAACTTTAAGATATCCAATAAATATTAAAAATATTTTGTTTACTTCATCTCAAGATCACAAAAGAATACTTAATATTTTTTAAGAGTCTTAACCATTGATTAGTTAATATTTCTAACTTTCTTTTTCCAAAGATTTTCTAATTTTCTAATTCCAGAATTCTTCCAAAGAATATCCACTTTAACCAAAATCCTCTTTAACCATCAGAACACTGATAGTAACTCAGGATTTTAGATGCTATTAATATGTCTGGACTAAATTGTTAAGTCAAAAGATATTTTTATTGAATATACTGCCATTCAGCAGTTCTAGGTAATCAAAACTCCTTTTTTTAATAATTCAGATGATTTGAAAATGGTATTGGTAATTCGCTGATACGTATTGCTACCTGCAGCTTCAGGATTATATGTCCTTTCCCCCACAAGTCTTGGTCTAACCACCACAACCTTTCTAGAAATTGCCAGACATTTATCATTTTTTAATACAATATAAACAAACAATAACTACATAGTCATCATAGTGAATATATTCAGTTAATTATATGTCATTTTAAGGTAATTAAATTTAAACTTTATTCTGTTTGAGTTTGGGTCCCCACACCATAAGCTATTCACTTCAAAGCATTTGTATAGTAGTATTTCACATAGCACACCAGAATTTGAAAAGATGGACAGTAAATATGAATCTTCCTGTATTAATAGGCTTGTCTCTTCTTTTCAGCTTTGCTGACTATGGCTGCATGCTAGAGATTCAGAAAATAGCATTTTTTCCTGATGGACGATCACTAGTGGACACTATCGGCAAGAGAAGGTTTCGAGTTTTGAGACGAGGGCACAGAGATGGCTACAACACTGCAGATGTTGAATATTTGGAAGATGAGAAGGTGAGGAGGTCCTTCTGCAGGTTACCCCCTAAAGACTCTGGCTGAAACATTGTTAACATCAGCAGTACCCTTTGTTGCAATTCTGGTCAGGGACCATAATAAAAATATTCATTCAAGCAGGACCCTGAAAGGAATGATATGTACAGGGGGGTGTCACTTGATAATGGTACAGGCATTAATGATTTATAGAGTTTATATTTCACTTTTCCACCAAAAGATGGCATTCAAGATGGTAACAAGTAAATAAATATTAAAATGAACAAATTTAACATTTAACTACAAAATAATTTGCAAAAAAAGCTACAACATAAATTTAGCTGCAAAACAATTAGTGTCCTATATTTATACAGTATTTATATTTATATCGCTGCCCAACTTTCAAATTGCAACTCTGGATGGCTAGTGTGATTAAACCAGAAAAACAAAAAGTAACCAACAATAATAACAAATAACAGAAAATATAATACCGCTGAGATCAACCACAATCGTATTCATAACCATTGCAAAAACAGACTGTTCCATGATCCTGGGCCAGTGCCTGAGAAAAGTACTGGGTTTTTAAGGTTTTGCAGAAGGTTGCAGAGTCACAGCCCTCTGAATATCAGGGGATATGCTGTTCCATAGGGCAGGTGGCATGACAGAGAAATCTTGCCTCCTGGGTCCCGCCACTGTTTCATAGAGGGGGCTTGAAGCATGCCTATCCTGTTGGAACTTGTAGGACAGGTAGTAACAATTGGAGATAGGTGAATAACTTGGCCCTGTGCCATTTTTTTCATTGAAAGTTTGGTGCAGTAGATACATAAAACAAGTAGAAAGACCTGTCATATTTCAAGTGATTTATCAGTCTGCCTTTTCAAATGATCCCTCACTGTCAAAAGGAAAAGTACTCTTTAAATATCTTCTTCTCTGTTCTTAGAACATTGCAGCAAAGCCAGAAGAATCATTGCACCCCACCCAAATACAGCATTAATTCTTTGCTTCATTGGTTAAAATAGTCACTTGCCAAGCTGGAGCTTTCTTTGATTAATGTACTAAGGGATAACTTCTATACACCTTGCTTCTTTTAGTGAACGAGACTGTTCTCATGGCAGCTGATGTCTCGAATGAGTCCATGACTGCCTTAAGAAGAATCTCTTTCCCTTAAAGAAGCCCTGGTAACTGAAAGCCATAAATGCATCTTCCACCTCCCTCCTCCTCCTCCTCCTCTGAATGGCATGTGCACCAGTCTGCCTGCCCGCTCCACAACTTCTCAATACCTTCCATCCCATCCCTCTGCTCAGCTATCACTACTGCTAATAAACTGGCCTCCCCCAGCTGTTCCTTACTGCGGTGATCTCAGTAGTAGGGGACAGGGTCCCAGCATCTGACCTGTCCCAATTGTCGCAGCACCTTCCTTTCCCACTATACATATATAGATAGCATTTCCCCCTCTTACCGCATACCCTAAACCAATTCTGCCCAGAACAACACAGTTCAATTTGTATATGGAGCAAAACATCCAAGCACATGTTTCAGTTCTGGCACAGACTGCTCAGAACCAGGTCTTTCAAGCATGCCACATTTTACATAACCCTACTATATAGCAACCTCATTTTGTATTAACTGTTTGAGTTCTACTTAGTTGTGATCTCTTCTCTCTTACTCTCTTCTGATCTCAACTGTTGTTCAAACTCTTTCACTTTTACTTGCAATATGCTCCACTCGGCTTGTTTCCAACTTCTGACCTTGCCATGTAGATGGAAGGAGAAGAACAGACTGAGCTCCAGAATTTGCATGATTATACCTATGAGTTAACCCAGAGATTTTATGAACGTGGGGACAGAACTTTCAGACAACTTGTGATGCACCATGGACCACTTCCTGAAAAAGAGGAAGACATACAGGTATTGAGACTTGTTCTCACCAGGAACATAAAATGGTCTGTAGGGGAATGAGGTGGGATAAAAAAATTTTTTTTTAAAAAAGGGAGGTGAAACTTTCATATACTTGTAACAATAAAAGTACTCAGATTCCATTCTAATTTGGAGGAGAAAATGGAGGACTCTCAGTCTTTGGAGGGTTGCAATGATATGCAAGTTGTCCTGTGGTGGCATGGAGTCTTTCTGATAGCCTACTGTGGTAAATTAGTTGCTCACAGAGCTTTATAGTTAAGCCATGCTGACCATTTATTGATAATGTGCCACCAAGTTAGTGTTGACTCCTAGTAGTCAGATAGATAGACTATTTATTAAATACATAAATAAATAAGTGTGAATGAGCCATAAGTACTCCATGGCAAGTGTTAATGAAAAAACAGTGAGCTCATGCAATACGCTGTGCTGATCTGTATAAAATGTACTACTCTTCTCGAAAGGATAGAGATTATTGTTTCTCATTTCTAGCAGGGTTTGGGTTAACTCTTCAAAAGACCACAGTCCAGGCAACCATCAATTCCTGGGCTGACATGGCAAACATACTGGGACACAATGCTGCTGCTTACATTAAAAACTAAGCAAACAAAACATTAAAGGTGGATGGGCTGGAATTTTTGGAGTCGTCTTTAGGAGGGTATTAATGTTGCACATCCTTTAACACCCCCCCCCCATTGTCTTTGACTGTGACCTTTAAAAAAAGATCTGTAGACGGAGGTATAAAATGGAAAAGAGGAGTGTACTGTAAGTGTTGTACTGTCCTCTACTAAGGAAGACAAAAGCTGCAGCTTTTTAAAAAAACAATGCTATTACCAACTCCTTGAATAATAAAATGATTGTTTTAAAAAATAAAAGAAATGCATTTAGTGATATGTGCAAACCTTGATCCAATGGGATTTATGTATTGCTGTCAGGCTCTAGAAAGAGAATTGATCCAATATTCTTAAGAACTCAGCTTTTACACAGATACCAAAATAATACTTAGATATATTAACATCCCAAACCTTCCTGGTTCTTTCAGTTCTTTTACTTCACAAGTCACCAACTGTTAGCTTAGATTTCCCAAAATTATTGTGTGGATGTTGCAAATTGCTTCTATGAGGTCTTCGCTGTTACAAAAAATGTGACTGCAGCTTTTAATAAAAGGCAAATTGGTGAGGCTAAAATGTGCACATTCTGCTTTGAAGCCAAACTTTTTTGCTTCAGTAAAATACCCATTTCATATGAAAGGTATTTCATCAAATAAAAAATAATCTAAAAGTGATTTTCCTTTTTGGCTGCCTATTTTTTAAAATGTGGGTTTTTAAAAAAATTAATCTGTAGAGACCAGGCTGTCAGTGACTAATGGCTGATCTTGGGTTCACACTGTAAGTTTTCAAAAAAAGCTTATCACAACAGGTAAATAAATGCTATGCAGCCATTCATAACCTGTCCTTCATTTCTCCTCTCTAGAATCTAAATGCTTGATTTCTTAATAGATTTCATAGAGCTCATCTTTAAATAATTTCCTAGGAACTAAACTGCCTTGAATTTTAGATTCAGGTACGTGTATGCAGATGTATTCATCTGCCTTCTGTACAGTATAAGTAGAATGAGTTAAAACAAGAGTTCTCTGGAATCAAACTTCACTTCTGATGATTATATAAACACACAGAATCCATGAAGTTTTCCTGGCAGTATTGGAAGTCCTTTTCTATTACTTTCTAGGATGTGTTGTTGATTTCCCAGGCTTGCCTATAGCCCTGGGACTTCTGGTGGTATCCCATCCAAATACTATTCAGGTCCAACCTTATTTAATTTTTTTCAAGATTAGCCAAGAGCAGATAAGAACTGCCAGAAGCTTTAACAAAAGAAGTTACCAGTTTAAAATTTTGCATCTTGTAAATTCATACAATGTTTTTAAAATATGTTTTTAGCTATTTGACAGGGTAAGGCCCTCTAAACGTACTCCATAGTATCAGGTTACTATAAAGATCAAGCCATTCATGATTTAATCTATAGAGTTTAGTTTTAGAGATGCTGCCTTCCCAAGTAAATAATATTAGAGTTATTGGATTATCATACCAGTTCCTGTATTTTTTTTTCTTTCCACTGTATAACCAAGCAGTTAGATAGCCCTAAGATAATTTTGTACCTGAAAATCATAGCTGTTCTCCAGGAGTGTAGTAATAAATAAAGTTTGGTGGCAAACTAAATTACCCTATTAGTTCCACTTTTTTGTTTGAATAAATTAATTACAGGAATTATGATCTTCAACTGCCAGAACCTGCATACCTTTCTCCTCAAATAATAAGAAAGCAAGACTTACAGCTCTAAAAGAAAGATCACTCTTTCTTCCTTGACATTTTTGAGCTCCCTTAAAATAGACTTTGGGCTCTGTTTTAAAGATAGGAGAGGACATTCTACTTTGTACAATTTAGCCATGGTGACTATTCTTAATATTTCAGCATTAAGTTACTATTACATTAGCAATATTCATTTAGGATATTAGTAGGTTGTATTAATATTACACTATATCATTTATTAGTTGCATGAATAATTTAAGAAATTGCCATTGCTATAAAATTCTTAGAATGGCATACACTTAAGAATATTGCATTAATAACCCATAAAAAGAAATGGGACGTAAAGAATGGATAGCCGTAAAATTGGCAAAACCTACAGAGCTATAATGTTAAATTAAAGCAACTTATAATATGGAGCAAAATGCTTAAGCAAATGGAAAAATAGTCTTCAGCTTGGCCCAAGAAGGATTATTAACCTCAGCCATGTTTATTTGGTACAGGTAGTCCTCTGTTTAAGAACGAATTCTGTTCCCAAGGTCTGTCCTTAAGTTGCATTTATATGTAAGCCAGAACAGTATTATTGTATCATACTGTATAAGTAGTATTGGGTAATTAACTCTAACCATTGCGTATTTAAGTCGAATCATTGTGTATTTAACTTGAATTTTTCTACAATAGACTTCATTCTTAACTGTGGGTTGTCCTTCAAACAGGCGTTCTTAACCCGGAGACTACCTGTATCTTATACTGAAGTGCTATGAAGAAAGCTTCTCACTCCAGTCATTACCCAACTATCCTTGCAATGTCTGGGAGGGGTCCTTTGATGAGATGGCAGAACTTAGCTGAGCTTCAGAAAAAAAGCTAAGCACTGTTGGTCCTGGCTCATCCTTGGGGGTGGACATATTCATTCCAGGGGACAGGACCAGAACAAACGTAAACTACAAGGTAGTAGATTCAGGCTAGATATTAGGAGGCATTTCCTGACTGCCATATGAAGGTTTGAGTTCTCTTCACTAGAAGTCTTCAGAGAGTGGCTGGATGATCATCTATCAGACACGCTCTATACTGAGAAGTGGTTTAGACTAGATGACCTCTACTTCAAATCGTGTGATTCTGTAAAATTCCAGGGCTGTATTGGACTGAGAACCTGAAAAACATTCCAGAAGAAAGTAATGGAAAGTCATGTATCTATTGCTACCTAGAAATAAGTTTTACTCAAGTCTTTACTTTTTCTATCTGTGAAAACCTGAATCAAGTCTTACCTACTCTTCACTTCCTAATTACTTACAATTTAGCTTCCTAAAAATGTGCTTTCTGAAGCATCTATGGCATCCCAAACACTTGATTATTTCATTTCATTATTCCTTAACTAAGTTTGTGTCACTGATTTCCAAAGTTTCTCAGTCTTTAAAATAAGGCATAAAATCAAAATTAAACTAGAGTTATTTAAAAAAAACAAAACCATAATTAGGCTAAACAGTTAAAAGCTATTTTAAAAGGTTTGCTTTTAGGGCCTTTTAAAAAAACTTGCAAGCAAATTAGGGTTTTAACAAATAATCAGAAAGAATATTCCAGAATTTTGGGCAGCTGTTGTTTATGGCAATTATAGCCATAAACAACACATCTCATCAAATGAACTTTAACATGAGGATCTTATAGAAAAAGGTATTCTTTCAAATAACCTGTATTTAGGCTATAAAAAACCAGCACTCAAAATGGCAGCCATTGAAATGCTTTAGCATAAGTGTAATATGCCATGCCCTCTTTGAATTCTGCCAAAGACCAAACTTTATCTTGAGTTTTGTAATGATGTTTCTAGACTAGACACAAAGGCAGCCCATCTACTATAATAAATATTATACAGGTAGTCCCCAGTTTAAAAACAAGTTCCATTCCCAAGGTCTCTCCTTAAGTCAAATTTGTATATAAGTAGGAACAGTATTGTATAATACTGTATAAGTAGTATTGTGTAAGGAACTCAAAGTATTGTGTATTTGACTTGAATCATTATGTATTTAACTCGAATTTTGCTACAGTAGGCTCCATTCTTAAGTATGGGTTGTCCTTAAACTGGACATTATTAACCCGGGGACTACCTGTATTAGTCAAACCTGGAGGCTATTTTAGTATGTACCACAGTTCCATGGTCATTTTCTTCTAGGAAGGAATGGAGTTAATGTATCAAGCTGAAAAAAGGTACTTTTGACCATGGCCTCATTTTAGGAAAATAGAGAAAGAGATTTGGATTCAGCAGTATTTCCAGACTAAATTCTCACTACTTCTGTGAGAATATGATTCCATTCAGACCAGAGGGATCTTCCACCTCTCTGGAACTGTGACCTTTTACACTGGGCACCTCCAAATATTACCTGACTGTCAGACTCTTCAGAGTTAAAGAAATAGACTTGAGTCTCATCAAGACACTGAGAGCGCCCAACTCTATACTTGATGATGATTTTATGTAGATACTGAAAAGAGACAGAATGGAGCACTGAGAGACACCATGTAATAACTCCATTTCTAGGAGCAACTCAAGCATCTGCAAGGGACACCATTTGAAATCAATTTGAGAGATGGAAACCCATGTCAAGCAGTGCCATTTATTCCCTGCTCTCCTAGGGAATCTAGAAGAATACCATGATCAATAGTATTGAAAGCTGCTGTGAGATCAGGAGGAACCAATAGAATCACATATCTATCTAAAGAAGTCTCAGCTGCCTAGCCGGTTTGAAATAGGTCAGAATTAATCTGCTTCCTCCAGGACCGCTCGTTTTCTCAGTCACATTAGAGACTGACCTATAATTAGTAATCTCCAAGGGACTACTGCCTAATCATTGCTGCCTTCTCCTCCTGGCAAACATTTATAATGATCTGATAATTCCTGACTAGAAGGTACAAGTCACGTTGAGCAAGGATTCAAGGACAAGTGGTGGTTATATTATTTTGTGCAGCTCACAGTGATATAGATCATGCTCCCTCCTGCTTTCCCTACAACAACCTTGTGGGGTGTTTTGGGCCAACAGAGAGTATGACTGGCCCAGAGTTACCCAGCTGGCTTCCATACTTAACAGAGGACTAGACCTTATGATCTTCTGGTTTCTAGTCTGGCAACTTAACCATTGCACTCCTTAAACCTTACCATTACATTACAAGCCTGTTCATGTCCTGTCATGAATTGAAACACGTTTATAAGAAAAGTTATCAAGCAGCCCCATACTGATTCTGCATCTGTGGTGGCATCAAGAGTGCCTCAAATGTGAGAATTTGATTAAGTTAAGAAGATCCAGGAAAAGAGTCACAGTAAGCCTCAGAATCCTGTAATCAAGCTTTGGGAGAAGGTGCAGAGGGTCTCCTACACCCCAAACCACTTATCAGGCTACAGTCTTGCAGATGCAACATGTGCAGGCAAAAATAGCCTTTTCAGCTGCATATATCACCAGTTGGATCCAATAGCTTTTGCGGGCAGATAATCCTAACAGATCCAATGGCCTTAAATGAGATCTTGACCTTAAGTAGATGGTGATCTGTCATGAAAATGAGGGAAAGTGAGGCACTCCCATGTGTGATGTATTTCTCTGATCAGAACAAAAGATCAAAGACAGAATTAACCCATTTTCTGGGTTCACAAAATGCATTAAACCACAAACTAAGCAAATAGACTAGATTTGCTCAATCAGTTTGTAAAAAAACAAACCAAGCTTAGCATGTTGTAAATTCAGACACTGGATTTTTAACTAACTTAATTAAGCGTGGTTTATGAATGCTGCTGATATAAATGCACCAGTACATGGTTGCTTTGACACTTAATTCACATTGTACTATTAAATATATGCTGTCACACAAAATCTGTCAGTGTAACATTTGGGGCATTGTTCTGCTCCTACTTCCTTGTAGGAGTTTTAAAAATTGATTTCTATTATATTGAAAAGATTTGGTCACATGCTCAGTACACAGTGACAAAAATTAAATCTTCAGCTGATGAAGAAATTTTCCTGTCACACTGTTCAATGATGCATCTTGATATTGTCAAGATTGTTCCACTCAACTTGTTCTAGTAGAACCAACCCTGATTTATTTCTTATGCACAATGAGCTGATGTATTTTTTGATATCTTTTCACTAGGCATCACCAGATGGACCAGTTTGGTGTTGGTGGCTTATATCTGTCTTGCCCCTTGACTTGACGGACAAGTTGACCATTTTTTCTGACACTTCCCTGAAGGCACGTCTCACCCAACTAAAGCATATTCTGAACATCATTCTGGAAAGTCGTGACTACAACAGCTAATGCTCAGACTTACCACAAGGAAATTTTAGGTAACATAGAAGAGAGTAGAGTGGATCTGTACTGAGTTACCCACCATCTCTTTGTGTTTGGAGTATAGCAATGCCAATCTGGTGCCCTCCAGAGGTCCTGGGAGTGCAATTCCTAGAATTTCTAGCCAGCATGGTGACTGGGGAATTCTGCAAGTTGTGATCTCAGCACATCAGGTGGATGTCAAAGTCTTAACTTCTTTATTTACCTCTATATTGTGATTATTTTGTTACTGACTTCAGAACTGTAGTCCTTGAACCAGGACCCTGAAGCTGGTGTGCAGTTGTAGCAATGTTTGCACTTTTGTAAAGCATGCTGACTGGGAAGCCAAAAGTTGTCAATCAATGCATACAGAAATCACCAAAAATGGGAAAGGCTGCTTTGTTGTTGAGAAAAACGGATAGCAACAAGGCAACTTGAGTTCTTTGGAGCACCAATGACCAAAAGTATACTATGAGACTCCTCCTGACTTTTTATTTTCATCTTTCCATTACCAAACAGTACCAACACAATACAACTATCTTCCCTTCCCTTCCCTTCCCTTCCCTTCCCTTCCCTTCCCTTCCCTTCCCTTCCCTTCCCTTCCCTTCCCGCAATTAATATGGATGAGTTGGAACAGTGTTGGTATATTGGGCTATCTATTGTGTACCAGTCCTTGTTATTTCATATTTGTGAGCACCACTGTGAGATAATATTGGATACAAGTATCTCAGAAATGTATTTGTGGCTTCTGTTCTAGGGATGGGACGTATACTGTATAGATTTGAAAACTCTGTAATCTTATCTCCCCATCATAATATAGTTTTATGTTTTTAAAAATTGTGAAGTTGGGAGGGAGAAATGGAAACAATATAATTTCGCCCATTATGTTGTTTTGCTTGCCTTAAACTATCTTGGTGGAATTCTTTTGTTTTGTATACTACAACGGAAGAGGAATTCAACTGCCAAATCGAGGGCGTTTTGTCCATATGCCTTTTCCCATTTTGCATTTTTTTCTATATTTATTTGGAACCTTTGGGATAGATTTTAAATGCTGAATGGAGTTTAGGCTTAGATTCTGCCAACCTTTATGTCTGATCCTTATCTTAAGTCCTTATTCAGGGGAAAGCGGTGGTGAAAGGGCATCTGATATTTATAGGACATAATTGAGATTTAACAGCCTTTTGGGCTGTTTTGTCATGCTGCTACCAGCTGCTTATTTCTCTGCTTGCTTCCAAATGTCATCTTTATAACCCACTTGTGCTGACCCATTCTTTTGTATGGTGTGCCTTATCAGAGAGAATAATAAGCTTCTCTAACTTAAAGATATAAAATGGTGGTTAAAAGGCATAAGGCAAAATTTCATGATTGAAATTTGTACTTATTTCTTCATGTGTTATGAAATAAACAAAATTACTGGTTGGAATTAAATACCCAAGAGTTTGCCTGGCATGAAACATCTGTACCCGAGAACATATATATGCAAGACTGCATTATTATTATTATTGTTAATATTATTATGCGGTCTGTTACCACTCAAATCTGCTTAGACAATATATGTGCCCCTGGAATGCTGGATAAAGAAAATTCCGGCTTCCCCAATAAGTGAGGGTAGGTTATTTCTGTAAATATATATATCAAACTTTCGGGAAAGAGTTGCTTCTCCTTGCTTTATGCACTATTGAAATGGGATTTAGGGGGAAAAAATACTGATTATACATAGATTTTGCTTTGGTGTTGACAGACAACCAAGGTAACTTCTGAGAAGTTATTTTTAAATCTTAAAAATTAGTAAGATTTAGTAATTGGTGTTATTTGAGTTGCATAGTCAAACAAAAAATCTTGGTTGTTTTAGATTTTTTTTAATCCCACCTTTCTTATTTTTATAAATAACTCAAGGTGGCAAACATGCCTAATTCTCCTTCCTCCTCCTATTTTCCCCACAG